AGCACTCACATGGTGGATCAAAATTGTCCATAATGACAGTTCTGCGATATCCATTGCCCGTGTCTGACCTCCGAGGGCATCAGACACACGTAGTGCATATACATCCATTCAGGCAAAACACTCATACACACAAAACTTTAAAAAGTTAAATGGATAGTGTGGTCATGAGGTACAAGAATTGAGAAGGTGAAAGCTTGAAGCTGTGGAAAGTTTCCTGTGGGGGGAAAACAGACCCATTCATTCATTTAATGGCTGTTGCTTGTTTTATTATTTGTCCAAAGGCTGTGGTATTGGACCAAGGTAGAGCAGATGAGGAAATGAGCCAAATGGCTGTTCCTTTCGCACAAACCCCTTGGACTCTCTCTGCTGGTCAGCGGGGTGCTCTACATGTACCTGCACTTTGGGGGCTCCACTTCTTATCCCTGCAATGACTAGGAGAGAGAAAAGGCTGGAGGTTAAGTGTGGCTATCACCAGGCATAATTTAATAAGACGGAAGGTAACTTCCACATGCCCTTAAAGCCAGCTGTGCAAGCTGAGCTGTGAGTGCGCCCGTGTCCCTAAGGACAGAGGATGGTGTAAGCAGATTCCAGTATTGTGATCCAGCCCTGTCCTCATCTCTGGACACCTTTAGGATTTTAATCCTTAAAATATGTCCTGAATCTTGCCTTGTACTTCTTGATGCGGGGATCTATACAACAACCATGAGTCAGGCAGGAATAAATTCCTTCTGGTTTTTAGACAGAATCTCATTACATAGCTGTTGCTAACCCAGAAGTTAGGGATCCATCCTCCTGCCTCCCAAGCACTGGGATTACAGGTGTGAGATACCACAATGAGCCTTTGAAACAAGTTCTCCTACAGAGGGCTTTACCCAGAACTGACTTAAGTGGGAGATTTTTCTGTTTCTCAACACTGACTCTAGACTGACCTTGTTCCTGGGGCCTAGGGTAAGGACTGCTCGCAAAGGGCTGTCTGCTTTTGCTGAATTCATTAGAACACAAGACAAATGCATCTAGTCTCAGCAGCAGGAGGGTGTTGGGGTGGGGATGCTTAAGTAACCAGGATGCCCAGTCAGCAAAATGACTCTATTTCAATTCCTCTTGAGCTCAGGGCCCAAGAGCTCTGTCTGATTCACCCAGATCTTTCTGAGCAGTACCTGCATCAACTAGATTGCTGCAAACTACTTCCTCCTGCTTCTCTGGCTAATTCCAACTGTGTATGAGAAATGAATATCTTAGGGGAATCAAAAACAGCATGGAAATCTTCAAGAGAAAAATACCCACTTTTACATACTTTGCTCTTTTCCTCCCCAACTCCAAACTTCTCTTATATAGAAGATAAATTGTACGTTATAAAACTGGTTGGATTGTAAGATTAATACCACCACCAAAATGAAAAACAGTGGCCAACTCATAAGCCAACAGACGTGAGAACATTGGTAGGAGCTGTTGTGCAGGCGGCTAACCTTAGAGTCAAGAGTCTCAGTGTAAAGTCATTCCCAGAACACAGAGGAACCCTCTCAGAGAGCTCTTTTACCCTCACCAGCTGCCAGACCTTGCTACAGTCTTTTTCCCAAAAGCCCCTTTTCCTGGGAGAATGAGATGCTCAACAACAGTTCTTCTCTTTGAAGAAGCTAAGAAAATCCAACAAGAACGATGGGAGTGACTTCCGGTGCTGCTATTCCTGTCCAATCTTGTAGCACTTAAAACAAGACAAAACTGCACTGAGCACGACCCACTGGCACCTTGCTTGAAGTCAACAAAAAATAGTCTCTTTCCATCTATGTGGGAAAAAATAATTTTCATCACAGAGATTCTGACTTAGATATACAAATCCACAAACATCTACATCCCAAGAATTCCGGGGGAAACTTTGTACACAACTTAAGCCACCATTGCACCGTTCTACTGAGAATCCCTTTAC